GTCTGTCTCTGTCCCCCTCTGTCACTGTCCACCAGTCTGTCCCCGTCCACCAGTCTGTCCCCGTCCACCAGTCTGTCCCTGTCCACCAGTCTGTCCCCATCCACCAGTCTGACCCCGTCCCCCTGTCTGTCTCTGTCCCCCTCTGTCACTGTCCACCAGTCTGTCCCCGTCCACCAGTCTGTCCCCGTCCACCAGTCTGTCCCTGTCCACCAGTCTGACTCCGTCCACCAGTCTGACCCCGTCCCCCTGTCTGTCTCTGTCTCCCTCTGTCACTGTCCACCAGTCTGTCCCCGTCCACCTGTCTGTCCCTGTCCCCCTGTCTGACCCCGTCTACCAGTCTGACCCCGTCCACCAGTCTGTCCCTGTCCCCCTGTCTGACCCCGTCCACCAGTCTGTCCCCGTCCACCAGTCTGACCCTGTCCACCAGTCTGTCCCTGTCCCCCTGTCTGACCCTGTCCACCAGTCTGTCCCTGTCCCCCTGTCTGACCCTGTCCACCAGTCTGTCCCCGTCCACCAGTCTGTCCCCGTCCACCAGTCTGTCCCCGTCCACCAGTCTGTCCCCGTCCACCAGTCTGTCCCCGTCCACCAGTCTGTCCCTGCAGGGAGGGGTTACCTGGTACGTCCATGGTTTCCCGCTCAGCATCTCGGTGCACTGGAAGCCTGAGGTCAGACAGCGGGCGGTGAAGGCGGTGCCTTCGGGGAAAAGCGTCATGTCGATGCTCTGTCCCAGGTCGATGAGAACCAGGCCGTGGTCCGGGTCCTCTGGGTCCAAACACTCGTTCTCCAGGAACCTGAGGCAGAACCAGAGGACAGGTTCTTCTGAGCTTCGACCCAAACCAGTTGTATGGTCTCACAGAGAGGTTTAAAATGTTCCTCTCTGCTGCTGCAGGGCCGCCTGTCTGACTGCTGTTCTGTCTGTTAGCAAAATATCCTCTCAGGAGAAACTGAGTTTAATAAACAGGAAGAGCTAAAGGTTGGTCTGATGGTTTCCTGCTGCCACTAAATGTCTTTTACTGGATGAATTAATAAAGAAACAATTAAAAATGAATTAAAAACAAAATAAATCACCAGAATAAAGTCAGATAAATAAATAAACAAACATAACAAAGTTAGACAAACAAATAAAACAAACACAACAATGTCAGATAAACAAACACAACAATGTCAGATAAACAAACAAACACACACAACAATGTCAGATAAACAAACAAACACACACAACAAAGTCAAATAAACAAACACAACAAAGACAGATAAAAAAACAAACACAACAAAGACAGATAAAAAACAAACAAACAAACAAGTCAGATAAGCAAAAACAATGTCAGATAAACAAACACAACAATGTCAGATAAACAAACAAACACACACAACAAAGTCAAATAAACAAACACAACAAAGACAGATAAAAAAACAAACACAACAAAGACAGATAAAAAACAAACAAACAAACAAGTCAGATAAGCAAAAACAATGTCAGATAAACAAACACAACAATGTCAGATAAACAAACAAACACACACAACAAAGTCAGATAAACAAACACAACAAAGTCAGATAAATAAACAAACAACAAAGTCAGATAAGCAAAAACAATGTCAGATAAACAAACACACACAACAGTCAGATAAACAAACACAACAAAGTCAGATAAACAAACAAACACAACAAAGTCAGATAGACAAACACAACAAAGTCAGATAAACAAACAAAACAAAGTCAGATAAACAAACACAACAAAGTCAGATAAACAAACAAAACAAAGTCAGATAGACAAACACAACAAAGTCAGATAAACAAACAAAACAAAGTCAGATAAACAAACACAACAAAGTCAGATAAACAAACAAAACAAAGTCAGATAAACAAACAAACACAACAAAGTCAGATAAACAAACACAACAAAGTCAGACAGACAGTGTGTCACACCTCTCTCCCAGCATGAAGTTGTCAGGTTTGATGTCGGCGTGGATGATGCGGGCAGCATGCAGCTGCTGCACCATCTGCAGGATGCAGACGGTGAAGTAGAGTACGAGAGGCTGAGGCATCGAGGTGCCCTGCCACCTGTAGGTGTTCACCGCATTCTGCAAACAACCAATCACAGCGCGTCACTTCAACCCTTTAAACGAGCCCGATGTTTCCACATTCAGATCAGCTAAAAATCACTGAAACATCAGCCGGAGTCAGAACTCACCAGCAGGGTGCCACACTTGTGCAGCTTGTCGAGCAGAACGCTGCCGTCGTGGAACAGGTGAGCCGAGCGCACGCTGCTGAACAGGTGACGGAGGCGGGGCTGCAGCCGAGCGTCCAGCTGAGTGTTGATGTAGAACTCCCAGGGGTTGGCTGGTTTCTGGACCTGCGGAGGACACAACCCGAGGACGTCTGTCTTTGGTTTCTGATGTACAGTGCGACATATACGTCGCACGTGTTATGAGAAAACCTGTCTGTGCTGTAAAAGAAAAAGACTTTGTAGCACTGGTGCGACAGACTCTAACCCAGAGGTGCCCAAAGTGGGGCCCGTGGGCCAAAATTGGCCTGCCGAGCCATTTAATTTGGCCCACCAGCAGTTATCCTGGTTTCTAGATTGTAATTAAGTTAAGATTAAATATAAAATACAAGTAACTATGAGACATTTAGATTAGATTTAAGCCCATATATAGATTCGCACACGAAGACCACGTATACTCAAATTTTAAATTATGAAAAGTCCCATGAGCCTTTGTTGCCTGAGCATACGTTGAATTTTCTCCATGTCCATGGACTGAAAAAAAACAACTAAAGAATATGGGCAACCACACTGGCTGCTAGCTTAATCATAAAAAATAAAACAAATTTACTTAAATATTTGCATTTCTTATATTATTGCATTTGGCCCGCGGCCCTCAGATTGATTTTAATTGTGAACCTCTCAGGGAAAATATATTTTAAAATTTTGGCCCTCTCAGTGAAAATGTTTGGGCACCCCTGCTCTAACCGTAGCTCCCAAAAATAACTTAAATGCACCACCTGTGTTTTACCAAAACTCTCAAAAAATGCCAACAGAAGCTGCTTCAGCCGCAACTCGTGCTGAAAACGCCAAACTTCCCCCTCATGGGGATTTTGCATTGACTTTCATTCATTTACCGGGATTTTCTAAAGCCCATCTGACCGTAAATCTAGTGTAAACTTTATTTACCCCGTGATGTGGACCAGGCTTTTGTCTCCATAAGAAACAGTGGGTCCTCACCAGGCCGTGTGTACCGGGGAAATAGTCAAAAATCATGCCCACCAGGCAGCAAAAACAAGTACACACACCTCCTCCCCCCATTAGTCTCGATCATTAACCCTTTAGATGCATTAAAATGTAGAAAAACATTATTTTTATAGTGATTGGAAGTCTTTCTGTGCTTGTTTTTATATTACATAACTGATATTTTGTATCAGTGAAGCTCTCGATTTACCGGTCGATCTACGTTCCTACCCTCATCTATGGTCATGAGCTTTGGGTCATGACCGAAAGAACGAGGTCCCGGATACAAGCGGCCGAAATGAGTTTCCTCCGCAGGGTGGCTGGGCTCTCCCTTAGAGATAGGGTGAGAAGCTCAGTCATCCGGGCAGGACTCAGAGTAGAGCCGCTGCTCCTCCACGTCGAGAGGAGCCAGTTGAGGTGGCTCGGGCATCTGGTAAGGATGCCTCCTGGACGCCTCCCTGGTGAGGTGTTCTGGGCACGTCCTTCTGGGAGGAGGCCCCGAGGAAGACCCAGGACACGCTGGAGGGACTATGTCTCTCGGCTGGCCTGGGAACACCTTGGAGTTCCCCCGGAGGAGCTGGAAGAAGTGGCTGGAGAGAGGGAGGTCTGGGCCTCCCTTCTGAAGCTGCTGCCCCCGCGACCCGACCCCGGATAGGCAGAAGAAAATGGAAAATGATATTTTGTATCTATAAAAGTTATTATGATTAGAACAAAGAGATATGTGTATTTTAAATAAATGTTACAAAGGGGTGTTTTTTAATTTATTATTTTTTTAGGCATACAAGCTCTTTACTCGTACAGAGGAGATAAATACAAACTTTATCGGCCCAGAGACTAACTGCAGATACAATCAAAATAAGAGTCAGATTATTTTGAAACTTAAAAACCCTAAAACGATGTTCTTGGTGGTATTTTTGATCTGCAACATAAAGAGTCAAGAGTTATTCAGCAGCTCCTGCTGCAGATTTTAGTAGCTTAAATCAGAGCAGCTGAGTTTTTTTTTCCAGGCCTCTTAATTCCATCCTGTTCTCTGAAATCACACGTGAGTGCGATGAGAGAGGGTCTCTGTTGATGATTTCTGAACTGTCAGAGGAAAATGAACACGTTCTGTGCTGTTCATCCATTTAGTGGTTCTGTGTTCTTCAAAAGAGATTTAAACTGAAAACTCTGGAATAATACGAATCTGCTGATCACTAACAACAATTTTAACTTAATCATAGTAAATTATTATTGATAACAACCATGAGGAGTCATTAACATTAAGATGTAACATAATAATTAAATATTCACATTTATTTAAATTTCTTATAATTGAATCTGAGCTGTATGAATCTGTTTTTTATCAAACAAGTAGCTCTTTGTGTTAAAGGTTGGTGACTCCTGTCCTACAACAATACTCACCATATTTTTCACCATTCTGGCTTTTGGTTTTAGAGATTAGAACAGACATTTTATGATGGTGCTACAACTTTTTGTTCTGTGTGTGCTACAAAACCAGAAACCTCTGTAGCACCGGTGCTATGAGGGTCCAGGTTCCAGCTCACCTTTAGAACCATCTTCTCTGAGCTCACAGGGTCCACGGCCTGGTACACCGTCGCGAAGGCTCCTTCTCCAAGAACACGTTCCACCCTGAGGGACGCCTTGCCTGTCAGGAGGGACACATTAATCCACCTGGACCCCTCTGTGGACCAGCCTGGACCTGAGGACAACTAAAGACCGACAGCTGAAAGCAGCCGACATGAGGAGCGTCTGCGGCTGTGTCTCTTACCCACGCTGATGGTGACCTTCGGGGAGATTCTGGGGACCCCCAGCTGCCAGGTGAAGCAGCGGGGGTCAGAGGTCAGAGGCGGGTCGAGTCGGGACAGCAGGTCCGAGATCAGGTTGCTGTCCCAGGGATCAGGGACCAGCTGGACCCCAGCAGTCGGCCTCAGTCCTCGATCCGGACTCATCATCATAGGTTCATCCGCGGCGTCGGGCTGCTGTGGGCTCATGGGCACGTCGGCACAGAACCCGGGCTGTTCTGGACTCATGGGAACATCTGGGGGCCTGATGGAGGTCTTAGGGCGACATGGACTCAGGTACGCATCCAGGTCCTGCTCAGCAGAGGCCTGGGGGGTTTGGACCTGGAGCCAGTTTGATTTGAGGGCACATTCAGGACTCATTGGTACGTCACAGTCCAGGTTCTGGTCTGGCTCAGGTCGGGCCGGTTCCTGTAAATCCTCCAGGATCGTAAACGGTTCAGTTTGGGGTCTGAATGAACTCAGAGGGCCCGGTTTGGGAGGCTGCTCAGGGCTGGTGTAGACCTCCCACCCAGGTCCAGCAGACCTGGAGGACACTGTGGGACACAGGGTCTGGTCTTTGGAGGACACTGTGGGACACAGGGTCTGGTCTCTGAAGGACAGGACGGCAGGGGGCGGGGCCTGCATCAGGGTGGTGGAGGTGGAGGTGAGTCCTTCACCCACGATGGTCCCCTGCCTGACTGAGAGGGGCAGCTGGCCCACGGCAGACCTGGACCCCTTGTCGTCACTGGGACTCTCCTCTATGATGGGACTGAAGGAGACCAGAAAAATGTCAACAACTTCTCTTTAAACCAGAACCAGAAGCAGAACCAGAAGCAGAACCAGAGGCGTTACCTGAGTTTTTTGGTCTGACTTGTGATGAACAGGTTCTCTTCTGCTTCTCCTCCATCAGCTGCACTCTCTGTGGAGCACAGATTTATTTATTTTAGAAGAAACCCGACAGGAAAGTCACCTGGACTCAGCAGGTCTGAGCCCGTACCTTGGTCCGGGAAGAAGATGGTGCTGCACGGGGTTTTGTGGGTGAATGGGGTGGAGACGAACTGGGCCTGAAGAGCGAAGTCTGTTGTGCTGTTGGGACAGGCGGCCAGCGAGTTGTAGCGAGGACCCCACATGGTACTTTCATCAGGCATCAGGTCCGGACCCGTGTCCTGATCCCACACAGAACAGGATTTAAAAACCCCACGCAGAGAAAAACAGAAGAAGTTCACGTTTCACTCACGCTGACTTTGTCCGCCTTCGGCACGCTGAGCTCAGCCAGAGCTCCGCCCACTTTGTGTTTATCAGACAGACCTGCAGAACTGAACAGAACCAGAGACTGTTAGGTGGGAGCCCTGAGGGACACCAGACAGAGGACACAATGGGCCTCATGCAAGAACCGTTCGTACGCACAGATTTGTTCTTAAATTGTGCATACGAGTGATTTAGGAGAATTTGTGGCATTC